TATATTCCTAATGAGCACCCCCAAATACCTTGAAAACGATACCCAACTTGCCATTATTCGATAAATCGTGCCCGCCATGTTGGATTTAGAAAAGAGTGACATATTCGTAATGAGCACCTCGGACACCTCGAACGTGATTCCAATATTGCATTTATTTGAAAAAAAGTCGTGTCCGTCATCGTGTATTCAGATATAAATGCCATTTCCATAAGGATTACCACAAATATTTTTTTTTTAATTCTTGTCACTTGACATTGTCGATCGACAAAACCGAGCATATCTGTAGGCACCTGATCGACAGTAACGATCGACAAAATCGAGCAAATCTGTAAGCACCTGATCGACAATGTCGGGCTAATCTGTAGGCACTTATAACTTAATGATGAGTTAAGCAAGATACAATTTCCCCACTTTTGAGAGAAATGTTATTCCATGGCATCATTATTTGTATATCTGTGTGCGTGCCGACGAGTGTAGATACAAGTTGCTTATGCCTACATGAATTTGATTTTTGCCTCACTTGTGGCAGTTCGTTTGATATGAAACTATCATTCTATGCGTTATTATTCTAAGGATTTAGCATTATTTCTATTATTAATTTCTTAAATATGGCGAGAATGCAAATCAACACACTGCATTACAAATTAGTAGCTATATTTAAATCTATGTACTGAGTCGTAATAAAAAGGGCAGAATTATTTAAAAATAATAACAAATATTGTAAATAGAAGGTAAAATTTGAAAAGAACAATTTATCATTGAAATGATCGTGACAATGATCGATAAAGGTATTAACTACCATAAAACAGTGAAACGACTGACAGTCGTGTAAGGGCCAGTTACATGACCGCTTCCGGTGGGCGGGCTCCGCAGCTACCGCGGCGTGCTGGACGGCTGGCAGGCGTGGGGCGCGCGCTGCGCGCTGGACACGTGGGCGCGCGCCGGCGAGGGCGTGCGGCGCGTGGGGCTGCACTGCTCCTACTGCGGCAAGTCCGTGGCGGCGCCGCCCGGCGCGCTGCGGCCGCGGCCCGCCTTCGCGCGCCTGCCGCCGCCCGCCGCCAAGATGAAGGTGCGCTGCCGCCATGCCGGGCCGGCCTCGCATGGTGCTGGCTGGACGACGACAAATCGCTTGGTCCACTCATTCCAGTTTTCTTTTCGATACTGTTGTGGATCTTGTACGATGAGCCACTGGTAATATAAGTGCACCGTGTCTATTCGCAAGCTAACACTCATTTACAACCAAACTTCAATAACTAAATTTCAATTTAAATAAAAAATCTAAATCACTCTCCACTGATTACGAACCGAAATTACTTGTGACGTATTGCCCCAAGAGGCTACTCGAACACGACTTGGAGCTCAATTACCAACTCTTATTTTGTGTATTTATTTATTACGTATTATTTAATATTATGTTAATATTCATTATTTGATATTCTTTTAAATGTTCACATTTAAAAAAAAGTCACAGTACGTCTATTGTAACACCATAAATTAAATATTAATTACTTGGATGTGGTATGCTCGTAACAATGTAACTACCAACAACCGAACCGAGCATTAATTTATCTCAAATTTCAACAATAATCTTAACTTTTCATAGTACGTGAAACTTTTAACATCTGCTCCAATTTCTACTTAGCTTCATGACGAACAATGTAAGAAAAAGCTACCACCCACACAAATTACAAATAATCTAATCCTATCCAATAAAACATTGTAACTCGGTATCGAATCACATATTGTTTGTTAATAATCAGTATCGTATCCCAAAAAAGACTGTCTGTTTGTACCAACTGATTCAATTAAACAAATCGATTCATTAAATTAATTATTTCTAATTGGCGGTTGAATTGGCATCACTAAATAGCGTATGGTCGAGTCAATAACCTGTTTGTTTACATTTTTGATACAACGAAGTACAGAATAGATCTTTGTTATCACTTCTAATACTATAGGCAAAAACAGCCTGAAAAGTATTATCGGGTCACTACCATGGTTTTATGTCATCCAGTTAGGCAGAAGCTGTATAATGTTATGTAGGAAGGTAACATTTTTATTTGCCGATACTTTTGAGCCCTGTAAATTGCAAATTTTGAAAATCGATAAAAAATCATTGTAAAAACAACATATTTAAACACACTGTATATAAATGGTTTTGTGTATTTATGAAAATAATTGCCAAGAACAGTCTATTTATTTTTATTACTAGTGTTAATATTATGTCGATTAGCGTACCAAAAAATTACTATTCTTCTTCGCCTCCTCCGTAGGAGGCGAAGAAGAATAGTAATTTTCGTCGACGAATGTCGACGGCATACGCGGTGTTCATGGTCCTCGACCCCCTCCTCGTAGCAAATCTCGTCGTGTCCGAACTGCCGCAAGCCGCTGCCGCGCTGCGGCGTGTGCCAGCTGCACCTGGGCACGGGCGCCAGCGGAGCGGGCGGCGGGGGCGCGGGGGGCGCTGCGTTCCCCGCCTGGTTCAGCTGGTGCGTTGCTTGCAGGCACGGCGGTCACGCGCACCACCTCATCGAGTGGTTCAAGTGAGTCGTTCGTTTTTTCGATCCGTTCAATAATTTAATTATTGACGCTGCTTGCTTTTTGTTTATTTATATAAATAAGCAATATGCTATTGCATGGGCTACCTACTCAAAGCAATTAAAATCCTAGATATTATATCAATGATTAAAATAAGTGCTCCTCAGGGTACGAAACTGGGACCCGTTTCTTATTTGTTTGGTCAAAATGTGTTCTATTTGAAATTCAAGAGTATAAAGCATATATTTTTCTCTTTTTTTACACAGGGAGCATACAGAGTGCCCGGTAAGTTCATGCAACTGCCGCTGCAGCACTTTGGATGCGCCTGACAGATTATAACCGACAATACTTCATGAGTACAAGATTTCGTAACTATAAAATGAACTCTTATGTCAAGTCAATTATTGTTTATTTTAAATTGTTCCTTGACACTACGCTGTCATTGTAAATTATACCTAAATAAATTTAAATGATTACAACAAATATTTCGTCACAGTAAGGAAGTTCGCCCCAACCCTTAGCCGATATCCAAATATTGCCGCTCCGATGTAGAAAACAACGAGTTCGGGCCGTGAATACACTGGCAGTAGTTGCTAGCAACCACGCAAAATGTTAAAATGATATCGGTTTTATTTGACATACAAAATAGTCTTAAAAAATATGATTCAACGTCTGAGCCCTCGTTACTATTCTGCCATAGTCCGTAATGAAAAAGAACGCTACAAATAAAAATTAATATATTCGTAAGAAATCAAACAATGTTTTCGCATCTAAACCTACGCGGTTTAGATTGAAAAAATTGTTTAATTTCCTATTTGTTTTTTCAAACAAACCACCGTTTCGGGCCCTTTACAGGTCCCATGGTCGCGGCTGACTGAAGTGGTAGAGTCATCAACCAGTTATGTCTAATATTATTGCAAACCACCCTATTTTTCACTACAGTTACAAAAGTTATCAATTAAATACCTTGTATTAAATTTTCCAAAGAATATCCCAGTTTATGCTACATATATGTTTTACAAATTATAATTTCAATATGAATTTTTATTAAATTAAATTTTTTCTCTCAAACAATACAATTATAATAAAAATTGCCGCGCCTCACTTAAAAATTCAAAATGTATCTTATTACTGTAAAATTCAAATGGTCATAGCCGAGGTGAAAATGTAAAAATTAATAATAATAATAAGTGAAAATTAAGCACTTTTATAAATGTGTTTGGCAAATTGAACATTACCCCTAGAGATCATAAGAAGAAGCCATACTTTGAATAAAATATTGCACATGGTTGAGGTACCAATATCGAATGTGTTGATTTTTACATCTGACTGGCAATATTCAGATGGCGGACTAATGAAAGAATGCTCTCAATATAACAAGGTTTTAATTAAAAATTTTATATGACAATGTATGGAATTAAATTTTTAAACTTTCTTTAGAGATTATGTGACAGCAATTATTCACGTTGAAACGCGTCATGCGACTGAAATCTTCATTATCTATTATTTTGTGGGGGTTTAGGTTTAGTCAGGGGGGTTAATTTAGTTAAGCATTTACTAAGTTTATAAACTTAGACCACGAATTCAAGGGGTCTGCTAATAGCGGTTCAAGACAGCGTAGTCCGGTATTTAGTACCATTTGGTACACCAGATGTCGCGATGAATACCAAATAGCTATTGTTAACTAGTTTGTAAATATGATTGCGAATACAAAAACCGAACACACAGAAAATTTTTTCGTCGGCTGTTTTCTGTGTTCGATCATTGTATTCAAATCAAAACAAAACTAGTGGAAATATTTCACAAAAAAAATCTCAATAAATACTTTGTAAATAATTGACGAACTACAATTTATCAAAGCTACTCCAATTTCTAGTGATAACAAACAAATCAACTAGATCGCGCTTATTACCAGATTTTTATGATATTGCAAGATCGCGACACGTAAGTTGAACAAAGCGCAGAAGTCGAGTTTTAGGGTCTCAACTAAAGTGCGGTACGAGGTGCCACGAAAGGGCTGAGACGTAACTATAGCAACGTCGCGACGCCGGCGCCTCAATTGATCTACGGCCATCACACATTCGCTCCCCTTCGCTGCTGAAAACTGTAGACCTGCGCAGACGGCCGCCATTTTCTTCAACTTACTTGTCCCGATCCAGGCTATTCCTTTAAATTGTTTAGGATTAGCGCCATTTACCCATACTATAATAATTATTTATTAATAATTAATAAATTCGTTTGGAACACGCAATGCCATCTATTGACATACATGTTTGTCAAAGTTCAGAAAATAATTTTGGCTAATGTTTTAATATTTGAATATTATTACAAGGAAGAAACTGACCACTTTCATATTAAAGATGAATTATCATTTACATAATATAAACTACTTCCAGGCTTATTGATCAGCGCCTTCTAGATGTAAGACGGAATTTTGACCTTTTTCAGAGTTACGATCTGTAGTGAGGGGATTAACAATCCTCTTGAATTATTTGGTCTATGGTTCTTGCTAATGAACAGAGATATAATTAAGATTGTTGTTTGGGTTTTAACATACTAGTAATGAGTAAAAAAATGTTATTAGAACCTTCGACACGTTGCGATATTTTGAGGATATAATGGTGACCGTCAGGAAGGCTGGTCGACTGTGGCACTGAGTGTCTATTCAAGAATTGCTACCTTTTCTAAATAATTGCTACCTGTGGTATAATTCTGAGAAATTTAAAAAAATAATTGACTAGCCATTCTGATATCAGGATGGCTGGTCACCACTTTGTTATCAGGATGACCGAGCCATTCTGATATCAGGATGGGTGCTCGCCAATTTGTTCGGCATGAAGGGAGCAGATTTTCCAGAAGTATGTATTATCAATAATTGCTACCTATTTGCACCTTTCACGTATTAAAGTTATACGGTTTCTATCTACATTAGTTAAAAAAATATAAAAGTTTGAAAATTTTACGAAGAAGTGCCAACGCCTGCCGTTTATATTATGGCAATAAAGCACTAAAAACTTTTGCTTTTTTAATTTAATCAGGCCCTAGCAATTCTAGAATATACATTCGTTGCCAGATGCCACAGGCGACCATCCATCCTGACAGTCACGATATCATGTCTTATATTGACCCGGGTCACCCGGGTGATGTTACAATCGGATTTTTTTAAATTAGAGAACTAACTGAAAGCTTCTAATGTCACTGTTTCTTTGAAAAATAATGTTGCCATGATTATTGTATAGCTAATATATTGAAGCAGAATTGTTCAATACACACACACACGCACACCGCACACAGCACGCGCGCACGCGCACCGTCGAGTTGCGGACCCGTAGCCCGTCGAACCATAGCATACCATAGTCAAAATGAAACTTTAAAGATCGAGTTTTTAGGTTTTCGCGATTGTTACACATAGGAAATGAAAATTGAAATGACGTATATTTGTTTTTTAAAGATTTTTGACTATCAATTTGCTAAACAATATTCCTATTATATAAAAATGATAAATTATTGAGTGATCTAGTGGAGTCTGTCGATCCTTAAGTACATTATTTTTATTTAATCAAAAAATAGCAACACCCTAAACTTATAAAAATCCGACTGTAGTGTTTCATTCATGGTCCAAACATACGTGTCAGTTTTCAATGGCATATGATTCAATTCAAAATGTTATAATAGTCGAACGAAGACTGCATCTCATAGCTAATTCTAGTCGGTATGTGTTCAACTTTTGCCAATATTATAATAAGTACATAGGGGCATTTAGCTGTTCCTTCAGTCAATCAAATCGTTACCTATAAGTGAAAAGGTAGGTAGCAATTTTGATTTCACCACTTACCTACGTAGAACCTAGAAATGTTGTAGGTTTCAAATGTTAATGTTATGTTCTAAGCAAAGAGGCTTGGTGGTTCACTCTGAAGGAGCAGAGGCGGCAGTGATTCAACACGCCTTAAGTCGCTGCTTGCGGCTGCAAGTCCAGTTTAAATTTATGCATTATATATACCTTGCGGCAAGAGACACATACAAAGGCTAGTAACGTATATTTTAAGAGAAGGAACCCTAACCGTATTTTTGTATAACCAGTGCATTAGATTATTGTTATTCGTTGGTTTTAGGGTACGCCTATCTTTTTTGATCGTCTGACGACTTTACCATTGGATTGAACTATTTCTGAACGAACTTTGCAGTACAGAACAAAATTAAAAAATATAGCGTTCTCTTTCTGACACTAGCCCATTTTGTAGATAAAAACAAAATTTGTTTCCACTCTCACTGCATCCTTTCCATGCAAGTAATATATATTATTAGTATTAATAATTAAGACATCCAAAGTTCGTTTGTAAGTATGTCAATCTCAGTGCCGGTGTTTAGTCTTCTTTTGGACGCTAAGCGTCTTTCGGTCATCGTTTTACACGAAAATATTGTTAAGAATAGCTATAGACAAATAACATTCCCATATATTATCTTTATTGATCTAGTATCATCAAAAAAAAAATCATCAATACTTCCTTAATATCATCGATTTATGTAAGGGAGATTTTGTCTAAAGCTACAGGTAATTTAATGTCAAGTCAAAGATTTTACGTGAAATAAATAAAACCGACATTGAAAATAAAAATGCTGATATATTTCCAAATATATATATATATATATACATTTATTAAATAATTATTTCGTCTGTATTCCAATTCAACAATAAAATTCTCAAAGACACAACATTGTTTAACTTCTCGTACGGATCGAATCCGATACGGTTACCATGGTTACCAACTAAACTCGTCCCTTTTCAGCACTCACAAATTACATCCCGTCCTGCCTCCGTAGTACCAGAGACTTTGAATACATTTTTTACTATTTCTTTCTAAATTTCCTATGCGACGTTGTCGTTTTGGAGTCTTCAAAAGGACGTACTAAAAGTATACACACAGACAGCCTTATACAAAAATATGCATCCACCATACGAGTACGCACGCCCAAGATGTGACAGAACGTGTTGCGCATGAGAGAACACAGACGGATGGCGCCACTGCGGCGACTACAGTAAAGATATCGCCCATATATGGGACATGAACAACTAGGTACATATTTTTTCTAGACTTAACTCAGTGACTTTTTCAAAGGATTTCATTGCACAATGTTTTATTTTAAAATACACAGTAAATTCGTAAATAGCCACAGAGCGGTCGACAGTTATGAACATTTTAATTTTTAGAAATGGAAACATCTTCCATAAAATCGATTAATATCGTTCAACTTCTCATCAAAGCAACTTCATTAAAAAAATAGACAAACATTTAAAACTTTTTGTTCAATTTTGCGCTCTAGAGCACCAACATTAATATTTTTAAATAGAAATTTAAAATACTTAGGCCTCACCAAAATACACGATTGAGAACGGCACAGGACCTCTGACAAAGTGAGAATGTATCATTTCGATATAAACCTTTGCGTTGTTAAACTGCCAGACAAAAGTTCACTTATCGCATAATATCATTACCTACGAGTATAATGTTCCACTTTGTTTCAAGGAGTTCACAATCTTTGGTATAAGAGAAAAACGCAGGTCTCTGCGTACACAGGGCACAATTTGGACTAGGGGAAATGGTCATTAGACGCACGCGCGCTCTGCGGCGAACCACCGGGGCGGTCACACGCACGACCACTAGAGGTACCATAGCCTAAAAGTTCGTACATACACTTAAAAGCTTTCCATTCAAATATAATAATAATTTTAATATATTTGTACACATTATTTTACTAACTTTTAAAGCTTTCAAATTAAGATTTGTCTTAATTTTACCACCGACACACAGTACTCTCTAAACCGTTACTAATTCATTATGAATCATTACATCGAACGATTAATGTAATATACATATAACACACCGCGATCCACAGAAAATAAGTATTTGGCAGGAGACGATTCGTTACACTCTCGCTAGCGAGCGGCCGCCCTCGCCGCAACGCCGCACTAGCGCCTCCGCTGGCCCTGCAGCAGGGCGCCGCACCGGACGGGTGCCTAGGAATGTGCCGATCAAAGCCGTCGGGGCAAGAAGAGAGGGCAAACGGCGAACGTAAAGCTCGACAAGGTCACTTCACCGCGATGCCATTAGTTCACGTCTAACGTCGATACAATAACTACCGATATATAATAACATCATATATACCTCATAAATATACATAAATTCTTTAAAAGTTGTCAACCACAAAATATCATCACACTATAACTCTCTATAAATAAATAAGCCCCACGGGGAGCGACGGGCGAGCGTCGACGACGCCGCCGCCGCGGCCGCGAGATTCGAGTATCCTAGCAGAAATGGCACTCGCGCATTCGAATATGAACGTACAACTAACTAGCTACACGGTGCCCGGCGCGCGGGGGAATGTTGAAGTTAAATGGCGAGGCGGCTGCGCCTCTATTGCACTGGGCCCGAAGGCTCTCGAGGCGGGAGGGTCCGGCGACGCTCCCGCGGCGCTCACTTGCCCTCGTCCTGCTCCATGGGCTCCTCCGACACGGACCGGGAGCTGTCCGGCGACCTGCGAACACACACGCTGTTACCGCCGTTCCACCCGGCTCTGCCCCCAAAGACGAGGCGACCAAGTGAAACTGACTGCATGGGCAGCGTGGAGGTGGACGCGGCGTGGTGCATGGAGAGCGTGGCCATGGCGGCGGCGGTGTCGGCGGCGTCGCGCTCTGTCTGCAGCCGGCCCAGGCGCGCCGCCGCCACCGCCGGGCCCGCCTCCAGCGCCGACATGCCGATCAGTTCCGAGTAGCGCTTTATCTACAAGGAATTATTTGGGAATTGTAAGGGTTGGCGACCGATGGCGAGCGCAGATTGCGGAAAAGGCTCCGCGAACCGGCAGCGAAGGCGAGCGCAACCCACCGAGGGCCAGTGGTGCGCCTGGATGGCCATGGTGGTCCGCAGCACGTCCTGCGCGGGCAGCGCCGGCTGCCGCGCCAGCTCGTGCGGCGCGGGCGCGGCGGGCCGCTCGCCGAGCAGCGCGCGCACGCACTCCTGCGCGCAGTCGCACATCGCCGGCAGGTCGTAGCCGCCCTCCAGCGACAGCACCACCTGCGGGCGACGGTCGTCCCTCGTCAAAGGGGCGCTCTCGGTCCCGCGTCGGGCGCTCGAGGCCGTTCGCAAAACTTGTGTAACCTTTCCGTTGGCGAGCTGCATGAGGTCGCGCGTCATGTGCGCGAAGCAGGCGGCCGACACGTTGTAGCCGCCGAGCGGCGCGGGGTGTCCCGCCGCCGCGTCGAAGCCGCACGACACCAGCACGATCTCCGGGTCGTACTCCTGCGTTACGAGAACGTTGTGTGAAAATGATTCAACAAACGGCCGCGGAAGTCCGTTTTACACGAACGGTAGTAATGTGGAGATGCGAACGGCGTACTCACTTTAGCTATAGGCATAATAATAGATCGGAAAGCAGCGAGGTATTCGGCGTCGCCGAGCGGCGGATTCGTTCCGGAAGACCAGGGGATGTTGACGTTGAAACCGAGGCCCGCGCCGGCGCCGCACTCGGTGACGGCGCCCGTGCCCGGGAAGAAGTTTCCGTCGTCGTGGCGGTGGATGCTGATGTACAGCACGTGAGGGTCCTCGTAAAAGATCTGTTGCGTGCCGTTGCCGTGGTGGACATCCTGCGTTGTGAAGTTTCAAGAAGTGAAAACCGGCGCACAGTAACAATATCGCATTATTTCATTTCACAATCTTTCTTGTCATTTTTAAGGCGTCGTTTTTAACGGTCAACGACCAAAGAATTTATGGCGCCCGACGCGGGGCCGCTCTAAGCTAGGTATGATCAGGTGCATTGCTCACAGTGAGTGCGTATGATCGTACCCAATCTACAATGAGTATCCTCTGCAGGCGCAAGCGCGTGTGCAGGACGCGCGCGGCGATCGCCACGTTGTTGAAGAAGCAGAAGCCCATCGCCTGGTTGGGCTCCGCGTGGTGGCCCGGCGGCCGCACCACCGCGAAGCTGGAACGGGAGGTGCGTCGTGAGACTCGTCAGCGGGACCAAGAGACGCGCGCCGGCGGAAGCCTACCCGTTGCGGAGCTCGCCGCGCGCCGTGCGCACGGCCAGGTCCAGCACGGCGCCGGCGGCCAGCCGCGCGGCGGGCGCCGTGTGCGCGTCCGACCAGGCCGTGTCCGAGTCCACGCCCAGCCCGCCGCACGCCAGCCGCACCAGCTGGCGCACGCCCGCGCCCGCGCCCTCCGCGCCCCGCCCGCCGCGCCCGCCGAACAGCAGCACGTGCGCCTCCGCGTGCACCGACTGCAACAGCCGGCGCGGTGAGCGCGGGCCCCCGGCCGTCCGCGCGGGGCGGGGGCGGCGGGGGCCGGGGTACCTGCAGCTCCTCCAGCGTGGCCTTCCTGGGCCGGGTGCGCTCCGTGCGCGCGGCCAGCCCCGTCTCGCACAGCCGCGCCCACACCGACTGCAGCCGCCCGCCGTGCTCCGGGTGCGTCGGCGCGTGCGCCCCGCAGGCGCAGCTGCGGACGGGAGCACGGTTAGCGGAGCCGCCCCGCGGCCGAGCGACGCGGCTC